CATAATTGGGCCCACCTCTGGCAGCACTCTGAAACTTGCCAGAATTTTTTTGGGTGAAGCTGCCAGGGGAATAGAAGTAGGGAAAACTGAAAACAGGGAAATATAAAGATAGGTCGGCTGGTGTTTGGGAAGGAGAGAATGATGCAGGAAAAGAGGAGCAGCTATGGGTGTTTTCAGGGAAGATAAAGAGGAAATAGCAGGGGTGGGGACAATGAGATCACTCCTTGCAAGTTCTTGTGAGTCCTCTGTTTGTACAACTCTGTCTCTTGATGTTGCTAATTTCAGTATTTGCTAACACAGTGTCTTACTGATTGGGTTTAAAATGTTGACAGTCACTCTAAAACAGGAAATTATGGAGCAATGATATATAATGGAATCATGATTAGTAGTAACAGACTAAGAAGTTTTTTTAACTGCCATCTCCATATACTTACAGTTAAAAGTTACCATGAAAATATTTCCTACATTGAATGGTGTCATAAAAATCAGCTTAAGATCCTGTATAAACCGGCAGAGTAATGGCTTCACTTCCCCTTTTCCCTTCAGATATGGTTCAGTGTACCAGATGCCCTGAAGATCAGTATCCAAGCAAGGATCACGACCAGTGCATCAACAAAATTGTAACTTTCCTATCTTTTGAAGAACCTTTAGGGATCACATCAACTTTACTATCTGTGTCTTTGTCCCTGATTACAGCTTTAATGCTTGGGACATTCATTAAACACCATGATACCCCCATAGTCAAGGCCAACAACCAAGATATCACCTACACTCTCCTTGTTTCTCTGCTTCTCTGCTTCCTTTGTTCCTTCTTGTTCCTTGGACAACCTAAAAAGGTGACTTGCTTCCTCCGTCAAGCTACTTTTGGCATCATCTTCTCTGTGGCTGTTTCTTGTGTCTTGGCCAAAACCATTACTGTTGTTGTAGCTTTCATGGCTACCAAACCTGGGTCCAGGATAAGGAAATGGGTGGGGAAAAGAACAACCAATTTTATTCTTTTTCTTTGTTCCTTCATTCAAGCAGGCATTTGCATGGTGTGGCTTGGAACCTCTCCTCCCTTCCCAGATTTTGACATGCAGTCAATGACTATGGAGATTGTGGCAGAATGTAATGAAGGGTCAATCATCATGTTTTATATTGTCCTGGGGTACATGGGACTTCTGTCCCTCATCAGCTTAACTGTAGCTTTCTTTGCTAGAAAGCTGCCAGACAGTTTTAATGAAGCCAAGTTCATCACCTTCAGTATGATGATCTTTTGCAGTGTTTGGTTGTCTTTTGTTCCAACCTACTTGAGTACCAAAGGGAAATATGTGGTAGCTGTGGAGATCTTCTCTATCCTGGCTTCCAGTGCCGGGTTACTAGGTTGCATCTTTTCCCCCAAGTGCTATATTATTCTGCTGAAGCCAGAGTTGAACAAGAAAAAAATCCTAATTAGTAGAAATAATTGAAAATAATTTCCATGGTGAAAGTTCAAAGACAAGCTTGCCACCTGAGGATTCTGTTTTTTTGACTTTCAGCTACGAGTGCTGGACCTCCTGATGGCACCTGGTATTTTTGGGCACTGTGTGACAGAGTGTTGGACTGGATGGGCCATTGGCCTGATACAACATTAGTTTCTCTTATGTTCTTAAAGCTGATGATCTTTTCTTTTCATTTTAAGTTCATCACTTTTCTGCTAAAAAATCATTCAAAAATTCATTAAAATTTGGAACCATGGGATCCTTCTTTTCTATTTTATCAAGTATTTTGTTCACACTTCACAGCACGTTTCTGACATCCATGCATAAAACACAAACACACATTCCAATGAAACATGAGTGTTTTGTTTTTCCATGGTGAAAGTTCAAAGACAAGCTTGCCACCTGAGGATTCTGTTAGGCTTTCACTTGTAGATGAAGGATCCTCTGGTCAATGTCATATGCTTGTTCAGCTTTGTTTGGGGCTAGAATTCGCACCATTCCTGGATAGACAGGACTGATCTACTGGTAGCCATGTATACAATAGATTACATGTAGATTTGACTACATCAATGTGCATGCCATTGGTATGTTGCCTATGGGAAAGTGAAAAGGAAGTAACACCTGAAGATGTCGTCCAGTCTGTAGGATGCCTAGGGTGTGAGACAGAGTTCTTCACTAGTGAAAGAGTCACAAGACCACAGCTTATCAATCTGTATTCTTTGTCAATGACATTTAGGAAATGATGAGAGAACATTTTTTTAAAAAAGATACCACATATTTTCTTCTCTTGACTGGGGACACAAAGTGGCTTCCAACATTATTTTTCCAAGCTGTATTTCGGCCTCACAAGAACCCTGTGAAACAGGTTAGAAGAAGAGAAGGTTTTTAGACCCTACTTTTCTCTGCTTTGAGGAGTCTCAAGGCAGCTTCTAATCAAATTCCCTTCCTCTCCTCACAACAGACATTTTGTGAGGTAGGTGGGGCTGAGAGGGTTCTGCGAGAACTGTGACTGGCCCAAGGTCACCCAGCAAGCTTCATATGGTATGTTGTGGAATCAAACCTGGTTCTTTAGATTAGAATCAGCTGCTCTTAACCAGTAGCCAGTTTGGTATAGTGGTAAAATGTGCAGACTAATCTGGGAGAACCAGGTTTGATTCCCCACACCCTCACTTGCATCTGCTGGATGACCTTGGGCAAGCCATAATTCTGTCAGAGCTGTCCTTGAAAGGGCAGTTCTTAAAAGAGCTCTCTCAGCCCCACCTACCTCACAGGGTGTCTGTTATGGGGAGGGGAACGGAAAGGAATTTGTAAGCCACTCTGAGTGAAGGGTGGGGTATAAATCCAATCTCTCTCTCTGTCTCTCTATACCATGCCGAGTCCCCACAGAGTAAGAGAGAGTGGCTGGCCCAGTCTGCTTCCATGTATGAAAGAGTGGGATTCCAACCTGTGTCTCTCAGATCCTAGATTGACATTGTAACCCCAAACCATGCTGTCAAGATCCCACAGGAGGCCCCACTGGTGGCCCCACTGGCCCCACTGGTGGACCTCCTGATGGCACCTGGTATTTTTGGCCACTGTGTGACAGAGTGTTGGACTGGATGGGCCTTTGGCCTGATCCAACATTGGTGTCTCTTATGTTCTTATGTTCATACGAGTGCTCACACGGAGAAGGAAATGGTTTCATGCTGTACACAGGAGTACATATACTGCAAACCATCAATTTAGAGAACATAACAAAATTGCATCCCCATGACCCCCTCCACCCATAATGTACAAGAATAAAATGATTGAAATACTAGTTTGGACTCCTAACCTTTCTTTCAGGCTGCTCATTGGGAATCCTACGAATCAGAATTTAGTTTGTAGAGCACTCAAAGAGGGAGAGTGTTCTGATTTGGTTGTGACATCTGATCACACTCCCAAGTTATCTGTATTTTCAATATTGAGGTCTTGGTCTGCGGGGAGGTAGTATATAAATGTTTTAAATATGTTTAAATACTTTATCATATTCCTGAACACATGATTGGGTCCACTGTTAGGTGTGGACTTCCCTGATGGTTCTGACACTCTTTGGAAAATTCAAACCCATCCTGCTGGTTGAGACAAATTCTCAACAAGTCTACTCAGAAGACAATCCCATTTTATTGAATACGGCTTACTCCCTAGATCCCCCCCCCAATATTTCAGCATGATGAACAGGGGGTTAAAAAAATGTTTAACCATGTTGCCACTCAATGTTCAAACTCATCAAAGGTCATTATCTTCCCCAGTAATTATCCACATCACTATGTTTTTTTCCCCTGAGCCAAAGCTGCAGTGACTTTCCAGGAGGTGCCGGAAAACACATAATGAGCAAGTCTGAAAGCGCTTATAAGAAACATCCTTTGCTATGGAGAGATGGGAGGAGGGAAGGCAGAGCTCTGTCACTTTGATCTCTCACATTTTGCTACATTGTATTGTATGCCACATTGGCTACCATTCAAGGCATTCATTTTCAAGTGGCAGGAAAAAGAGCTGGCATATTTAACCTTAAGAAGAATACTGACACAGTCGTCTTCCCACCAAGCCAGCCTATTATGCCTTAGGTGGGCACAGAAGAATCTGTGTCTAGATCTTGCTTCCAGGATGGTGAGGCTGGGGATGTTGCTTCTTCTATCGTTTCTTCTGGTGTGCAAAGTGGACACTCTGAAATGCCCTGGAGACAATCCCGTCCTCATCCCCCATCAGTGGTACCAGCCCGGGGACTACCACATTGGTGAGATTACTTCTCAGATCTGTTTCCATCTTCACAATATTGGTTTTGACTACCAGCCTTCCTTGGACTTGTCCTCTGCTCCAGAGTAAGGATTCTTTCCCCACCTATGTGTGTTTGGTCAGTTCACAAACCCTACCAGTGGTCTGACAGGATGCTGAAAGAAAGAACATGTAATCTGGGTCCACCCTAAATTTCCTCCTATGCAATTGCCTGCACAGAATGTAAGCAATCCCTGTTTTGGAAAATGGGAGAGGGGAGAAAGATTTATTATTTTGCTAAATGTTGATTAAGAAGAAGAAAACATGTTTCCATTATTAACTGTTAGTTTGAGTTTACCAATAATACTGATCTAGTGAAAGCCAGATGTACCTTCACAGTCATCTGTTTGATTGATTTACGTATTTGATACAACTTACTAATTATATATTATAACTCTATTTGCTAGATCTTTAGGTGATTTAACATTCTTGCAGAAGGACTACAATTCATCAACTGTGAAAGGACTTTACTGTTCAGTTGACTTGTTAAACTAATTAATTATTATTATAGATGAAAAGAGCATTAAACAAACACTGATACAAGTGGGTTTATGGATGCAGAATATAAGAAGCTATGTTGAGGTTGAGATGGCCAGAGTAAGCACTAAAAATATAACAGAACAGTCAGTGGCTGTTTTGCAGAGTTCTAGTAACCATTTTCTTAACCCATATCTGGAAAGCAAGATGAATTCTAGGAACAATTCATTCTGGTTGTACTCGCTACAAGCTGAAAGCAACAAACCTGTAGAACAGTTTCAATATGGAATCCACACAATATTTTTTTTTATTTTTATGTTTCTTACTATGCTCTTCATTCAAAATCCACACCATTTCCTCCTTACCCTTTTTCTCCATTACTCCAGATCCACTTCTTTCTTTTCATCTGCTTCTTTCCACCTAATTAAAAACTGAATGTGGTCCTTCCCATAATTTCTTGATAATATCATATTTTTATCATTCTAAGATGTGAAGATGTATTATTCATTCTAATAATGGTAGAAATGTATTTATATAGGGTTTTAAGAAGGAAGAACTGCCTTCTCATTGTAATAAAACAGAGAAATAACTGTGTGGCATCTTAAAGGCTTTCATAGGGAAGCATTCATTTCATTTCACCCATGTAAGGGTCTGTCTAGTGGGCAGGTGAGTGCACTGTGAATATATACAGAAAAATAAAACACTTTTTTAAAATAAAAAAATATTCCAAAACCCTGCAGAATTTTCCTGTAAAAGAGTGTTTGTCTCTTTTTGAAGAATGGTGATCAAGTTCTACCAGCATGTTCTGGCCTTTGTGTTTGCTGTAAAAGAGACCAATGAAAATAGCCACATTTTGCCCAATGCTACACTTGGCTTCCACATCTATGACACCTACCACAATGCAAAGATGACGTACCGCAGCACAATGGAGTTGATCTTCAAATCGCATAAATCTGTCCCTAATTATCAATGTGATACCCAGAAAAACCTGATAGCTGTCATTGGGGGAATTGATGGAGATATTTCTTTCCGTATGGCAGACATCTTAGGTCTCTACAAAATTCCACAGGTGAGATCCACATATAGAAGGATGAGTGATTTGACATATTGCAGGGTTTTAAAAAATTATTTCTAGGAGGTATTATGTGATGGGAGAATTATGGATTATTATTTTGTTGTTCAGTCGCACAGTCGAGTCCGACTCTTTGCAACCCCATAAACCAGATCATGCCAGGCCCTCCTGTCTTCCTCTGAAGTTTGCTCAATTTCATTTTTGTTGCAATTATGACACTGTCTAACCATCTCATCCTTTGCTGTCCCTGTCTTCTTTGACCTTCAATCTTTCCCAGCATCAGAGTTATTATATGATCTTTAAAGATCAAAAGCAAAAAAAAAAAGATAAAACCCAGTTTTCAATCACGGAAAAGGAGGAAACAGATCCCATTTCAATAAGCATTTTCAAGAAATGTCAGCATATTCCTATAATATGAAAAAAATCATGCTCCTATGACACTAAAAAAACCATGAATTTTAATTCTCTCCAAACAACTGCGCTGACACAGATGGTCCAGGCTAGCCCAGTGTCATCAGATCCTGGAAACTAAGCAGGGTCAGCCCTGGTTAGTATTTGAATGAGAGGCCACCAAGGAAGTCCAGGGTTGATACACACAGGCAGGAAATGGCAAATCACCTCTGAACATCTCTTGCCTTGCAAACCT